GGGGTACGTGGTGGGGTGGGGGGCACCTGATGGGATGGGGGCACCTGGTAGGAGACGGGGGGGTACCTGGTGGGAGATGGGGGGGTACCTGGTGGGGTGGGGGGCACCTGATGGTATAGGGGGTACCCAGTGGGGGATGGGGCCACCTGATGGGATGGGGGCATCTGACAGGGTCGGGGCACACACCATATGGAGTGGCTGTGGCAAAAGTCTAGCGCAGAGATGATCTGTCGGAAGAACTTCCGAGCCTCTTTGGGGGTCAGCCTGCCCTTCTTGACAAGGTAGTCGAAGAGCTCTCCACCAGACACGTGTTCTAGCACCAGGTATCTGCAGGGGACAGGTGGGCGTCAGCTGGCTGTGCACCATGCGGTCAGCCTGCCCCGGTGCCAACCTCTGCCTCGTCCCAGCCTCCGGCACCCTCAGCACGATGGGCCTCCCGGCAGGCCTGCCTCCAGCGCAGCCTCGGGAGGCCTCTGATGCAGGGAAGCTGGGAGCAGGCCACGCCCGACCCCCTGGCTGAGGGGCCGCTGGGCCTCAAGGCAAGAGGGGCGCTGTGGCCGCTGACCCCCATGCAAGCCGGGCTGTGACCCTTCTAGGCCCTCCCCTGCCAGTCCAGGTTGGGCTCCCAGAACAGGGGAATGAATCAGACGCTTAGGCCTGTGGGGCGCCCAGGCCAACAGGGGAGACCCCGAAACAGGGTGGGCCAAGGGGCTGGGGCAGGGTATGGCCAGGGGGTCCCCCGGGGCTGCCCCTCAAACGGGGTCTTGGAAGACAGCGTAAACAGGGTGGCCCCCCAGCAGGATAGTAACTGCCCCCACTGGCTCAGGGGGGCCCTGGGGGCCTGACTGGGGCTGGGGCTGGGGGCTGGGCCACTAGGGGGTTCTGACAGGGGCCTGGGCTCCCTGGTTCTGTGGGCCAGAGCAGAGCAGCTGCCCCAAGGCCAGTGGGCCCCAGCCCAGCACTCCCCTATGCTAGCCTGCTTCCCGGTCTGCAGAGCAGGTGGCTGGCAGGGGTCCAGGGACGAAGGGCCCTCTGGGCTCCTGTGCAGGGCAGGATGGGGACAGCTGGAGGGGGCAAGTACAGTCTCTGGCCTGGTGACAGTGGCTGCAGGGGAGGGACCCCACCCCCCGCTCTGTGTCCAAGCTCAGCCTCACTGATGCCCACAGGAACCCCCGAGGACTTGCTGGAGGAGGCCAAGGGCACGGGCAGGGGGCCAGGAGGTAGGGAACCAGCCGTCTCAAAGGCTTGTCTTGCAGGAACGGAGGGCTCAGCAGGGGTGGGGGCACAGGGGGCCTGAGGAGAGAAGGGGCAGGGAGGGGGCACAGGTGGGATTCTGGCAGGAGGGGCCATCCCAGGGGTCCTGCCCTGCTCCCGAGTGGGAGGCCCAAACACAGCACCTCGGTGAAGGGGTCCCCTGCCTGCTCCTTCACCTGCATGCTCCCAGGGCTGCCTTGGGGAGGGTGCCGGGCCCAGCGGGACCCAGCCTGGCCGCCTGATCGCGCTCCTGCTGGCCGTGGCGTCCCTGCCATTGGGCCTGTGCCCGGCCGTGCCTCCGCTGGGCCTCGCCATCCCAGGCCCCTCCCTGGCTTCCTGACCCCCACCCCAGGCCCCTCCCTGCAAGTATCTCAACATAAATGAGACACGATGGGTCCCCTGCATGTCGTGTGTGAAGGTGGCCAACAATGCCGGCCCCCACACTCACGGGATGTCGCCGGACACTGACCGCAAGGTGGGCCCCAGTCAGGCCGATGGTGGCGGGTCATGCAGGTGTCTCAGGGAGACGGAGTTCCTCGTGCTCACTGGTGTCAGGGGCCCCAGGACCACAACCCGCCTCCTGGTGCCCCTACAGCTATACTGACTCATCTCCGGCCCCCACGTGGGCGACTCTGGTCACCCTACCCTCAAACACTTGGAGTTGGCCACTCATGCCGCTGGGCCTCCAGCTGCCACGGCAAGGGGGGCGGGGGGGGGGTGCCACAGCTATGAGGAAACTGAGGCCCAAAGAGGGACAAACTTGTCAGGGGTGGGATTAGGACCATCCTCAATCCATGTGCCCAAGCCTTCCTGCTCCCCCAGAGCAGCCCTCGCCGTCCGGCTTCGTGCCCCAACCCCCATGGCCCAGGACAGTATGGGCGGGCTGTGGATGGCCACCTGGTGCCAGCCGGCCTGGCCCATGAGGTGCCCACGTCTTTTCCGGGGGCCCCAAGTCGGGCCTGGGGCTTGGGGCTTGGAGTTGAGACCTCGAGGTCCCCTGGGTCAGGCCCCCGCATGCATTTCCTCACTCGATCTGAATGCCCCCAAGAAAAGTGCCACTGGAGCCCCTCCCTGAGGGACAGGGCATCACAGGCTGAGGCCCTCCTACAGCCACACGGGCAGTAGTGACAGGGCTGAGCGCCCCCTCGCAGTGACCCAGTGACCACCGCCCACACCCCGGGTGAGCTCATTGAGGCCCCACGGCGGGCGACCTGGGGCCGGGGGGGGGGGGCAGTCTCCAATTTGCAATCCAGGTGCGCCCAAGATAGTGAGATTTCCGCTGGCCTCTGACTCGGCAGCACGGGGGTGGGTGACCGGGGAGGGTGAGGGGCCTGGTGTGGCCATCGAGCCGTCGGCCAACCTGGGGTCCCAGTCCCGTGAGGGAGCAGATGGGGGCCTCAGTGGGAATGGGGAGGGTCCCTGGGGGCCCTGGCAGAATGACTGGGCCAAGTGGTTCCTGTGGCTTGACGCCGGCCCCCAGCCCCTGCCTCCAGAGAAGCCCTACGCCCTCGGCGGTTCAAGCTGGTGGCTCTGCCGTGGTCTGGGCCAGGAGCACTGACCGTGGACACCCTCTTGAGTTGGCTCCCTCCCCGGGGCCCCACGGCCTCGCCTCTGCCCCCTCCCCAGCTCTCCAGACCCGGCAATACCTACAAATATTTTTTGTTTTCATAAACATCGTGCAGCTTTAGAACGTGAGGGTGTTCGATGAGCTTCAGGATGGCAATCTCCCGCTCCACCTGCACGGGGAGAGAGGTCCAGCTGGGGGCGGGAGCGTCCCCTGCCACCTGCATCCACCCACCCCGTCCCCTCCTACACACAGCCCTGGGGCCAGGTAGACGCCACGCTGCCCTGACCTCGAGGGGGTCTCTGGCTGGTGGGGAGACAGTAGGATCTGAGTGGGCTGTGCCCCCCGCCCGGCACCTCGGTCAGGCTCACGGGGGCGGTGGAGGCTTTGGAGCAGGGCCAGCCTAGATGGGGTCTCTGCCCCTGTGGGCTGGCCCATCCCGTCCCGGGGGCATCACACAAGGGGGGCCGCCCCTCCGCGCCTCCACCCTGGCCCTGCCAGGCCTTGTGGGCTCCTGCCACTGAGCTCGTCTCTGCTCAGATAGCTTCTGTGCATCTTGAACTCAGGGTCCCCAACTGAACACGGTCCCAGGAGCTGTCCAAGGCAAAGTCGGGATCTGCCCCCACCCGCCCAAGCCACCGTTGCCTTCTCTTAAAGCTGTCCCACCTTTGGTCCCTGGGGTTCCTCAGTGGGGCCCACCCCAGTCCCTCCCTGCCCTCCTGGCATACTGGCCACACATGCCCGCCGCGGGAGATGTCCGGGGAAACAAGGGAGGCACAGTCCCCAGGGCAGGGGGCAGCCACGGTGATGCGGAGCCCCCAGCATGCCACCCACGCGCAGAGGTGTAAGTGCCACACCCCCCAGGGAGCAGGCAGGTGGGGGAACCTGAGGCCTGGGCAACCCCTTCCCACCAAGCACCAGTCCATGCGGGGCCCGGTCCGGTCCCAAAGGGGGTCCAGATTCCACCACAGGACGGGCTCCCGGGATGGGGGGAGGGAGGGGGGTGGGAAGCAGGAGGAGCTGTCGTGGTCCCTGGGGAACTGTCACTTCCTCAGAGGAAGGGGCCTCCTCCTGGGTCTAACTGGGGAAACTGAGGCCCAGCCAGCTATCCCAGCAGGTTGGCACGGCACCCGGACGGTGCCCCAGGATGCGGCCTGTCCCTCCTGGGCCCCCGGCTGAGGCGAGGAGAAAGGGCAGGCAGGGCTGAGGAGGGAAGCCAGGTGCAAGGTGGTCACCGGACGCCAGCACAGGGAGGCTGCTCTGTAGCCAGGAGCTGCCCGCCCTGGGCTCCAGCAGGAGCGAGTGGGACCCACCTGGGCTGGCTTCTCTGTAACCCCACCCATGGGACTCTCACCACGGGGACCCGCCGCCAGGCTGTCCCCCCAGACCCCCCAAAGGGCCCCCTTAGGCCCCCCGCCTGAGCTCACCTTCATCAACACAGACTCGCTGAGCTTCTCCCGGTTGACAATTTTGATGGCCACCTTCTGGCACGTGACACAGTGAATCCCCAGCTTCACGAGGCCTGTGGGGTACAGAAGCCCCCTCAGACCCCATCCAGGGCCCCAGTCGGTAGGGACCCCACCCACTCCCCACACAGGCCCCTCACTCAGGGTCTGGTTCCTGTCCCCCACCTCTCTCTGCTAAGTATGCCTCAAGATACCCACAGCCACTGCCCGCCCTCCCACGTCCCTTGGTCACTGCCCAGAACAGCTCTGCCTTGGAGCAGCAGCCCTGCCCCACGCCATGTCCCCCTCCCAGGGACCGGCCCTCTGACCCCCTGCACCCCTCCCCCATGCCCTGGAGGCCATAACACCGAGAGCCCCCGCCCCAGGCCTTCAGCCACTGCCCAGGCACCTCCAGCAGGGGAGCCAGGGTGCCCTCGGGTTCAGGGCCACCCACCCCTCCCCACACAACAGTGTCCAGCTGACTGGTGTCTCAGGGACAGCAGGACGAGCCTAAGGCCACTCCCTGGGCAGCAGCACCACCCCAGCCTGCCATGCCCATGCCCCCCCGTCCTGGGCTCCCCACAGGACAGAATCCACCTCTGCTCTAATGACCATGCTTCTGGGGCTCACAGTCCTGGTTGCTGCTCCCTTGTCATGTGGCCACAGCCAGGCATCCCCTTCCCCTCCCTGGCTGGGACAGGCCACCAGGGCCACCAGCAGCCTCACCCCTGCTGCAGCCCAGCCACGGCCAGCCGCCCTCCTAACCTCTGGCTGGACCCTGCGGTAGCCTTGGGACCAGGACATCCCCACCTGTCCGTTCCTGAGCCCGGACCCCCAACTGTGACATCGTCCAAGGTGACTGTCATTCTCAGACAGGCGTGTGAAGGTTATCGTGATGGCCCCTACCTCCAGCATTTGGGGACAAGGGGGCAGGACCCTTGACCTTAGCATCGCAGCCCGACCCTGACTTGTGCTCTGCCGGGGGTGCCCCTCCTACGGGGATTGAGGGATGCCCGCACTGCTTCACCCAGACCTGGTCAAAGTCAGGGCCCGGAGCACGTGCCTGCCCCACGTTCAGGGTGACGCAGGCCCCGTTGCTGCTGCTTCGGCCGTGACCTTGAACTCCTCGTGCTCACCAGCTGCTTGGTGTGCCCTTCCCCCACTTTTACGCCAGGCCTAGGTAGGGGAGATTCTTACCAACTTGCAAGAGCCCTTCAACTTTATGGGAAATGGATCCCTCGCCATATGAGGGAAAACACGGCCCCTTAATGGACCGCACATCTGTAACTCTGCGTGGCCTCCGTGGCCTCCCGTGGAGCGTGGTCACCCCCGACCCTCCAGGCCCAGCTTCTCACTCTCCCCTTGAGTCAGGATGGGCAGGCCTGTCAGCCACAGCCTCTCGGGTGCACAGGGAGCTCTGGGAGGGCACCTTCGTGGGTGGGGCCCGTGGGCCCGAGCTCCCGTGCTCAGCGAAGACAGATGAGCTCCTGGGCTCGGCGTCATGGCCGCTGAGCTCCCACCCCAGGAAGTGCTGCAGACCCCTGGGGCCTCTTGGGGCTGCCTTTGCCCTGGCCCTGGGCCTTGTGATTCTGGGTCTGCGGGAGGGGCAGGGAGTGCACAGCAGGAAGAGGAGACGGCAGGTGCGTTGCTGTCACCCATCTGTAACCCATGGCTGGCAGCCCGGGGGCTCACGGCCTCCGGGACAGAACCGGCCCCACCGCCCGTCCTATCTCCAGACGGCAGGCACGAGCCAGAGTTCGAGGCAGGACTCTGCCTGGCAAGTCCCCAGAACAAGGCTGAAGGGCCAAGGGGACCTGGGGAAACAGGCAGCAAAGGCCACCACCCCAAAGGGGACAGGCTCCCGCGACCCCCACAGGCTCAGGACAGACGCCTCCCGTGAAGAGACACCCGTGGTCCAGACACGCAACCCCCACGGGGCAGACGGCCATCGCCGCGTCTGGGAGAGCACTCCCGAAACCGGACGGCGTGACCTGGGGCCAGCTCTGCCAGACTGTTCGCGCAGCAAAGACCAGGCAGGGACAGATGTCCTCGAGCGGGAAGGAGCGAAGTGCTTCTGGCTCAGCCACCAGGGTGCCCGGCAGACTTGAAGACGCAACGCAGCTGGACGGCACAGCACGGACGACTCGCTTGGGCCGATGGGCGGGGCCCACGCGAGGACACACGCACACACACCGCGCACACCAGTGCACGCGCGTCCTTAGAAGGCGGGAACCACGGACGTGCGGTGGGGGGAAAAACATCCTCCTGCTTCGAGAAAAGGAAAACAGACGGGTGTCAAAGCGACAGGGCGCTCGACAAACACGCCGGCCGACGGCAGGAGCAGGACACGACCCAGCCGGTGCCACCGCCGTGACCGGAACAGCCATCCTGGCGAGTGCCCCGTGCCAGGCGCTGTGTGAGAAGAGGGACCCCCGCTTCGTGCGCAAGGAAACTCGGCGGTCCCGTCGCCAGCCGCTGCACAGCTGCACAGAAAGGCCGAGGGACGAAGGGCCCAGAGGACAATGGACGCCAGACAAGCCCCACGCCACGGGCCCGGCCCCCCAACAGCACCTCATGGGCCTGTGGGGCGAGGCCAGCCAGGAGGCACGGCCAGGTGCGGGGGGTCGCGCTGGGCACCGGCCTGGAACTCAGGCCGCTCCCTCCCTGCCTTCGTCTTCTTCCACTTGCCACCCCTGCCGAGGAAGTCTCCGGGCCCGCAGACTCCCCCACACGCCTCAGAACCCAGCGTGGAGGTGCCCCTCCTCAGTGAAGCTTCCCTGCCACCCTGGGAGGTGGCCTAGCCCCGGGGGCCTCTGGGGTGGGGCGTCTGCGTTCCCAGCAGGCCTGCCATTTCCCCCAGAGACAGGGAGTGGAGAGTGCGCACCGGGGAGCCCTCCTAAGCGGGCTCGGGATGGCGGGAGGACAGCGTCTGCAGGGAAGCCTGCAATCAGACTAATTCCCCAACCCTGCAGCTGCGCAGGCAGAGCGCCCCATCGTGATGTATGATTGTGTTTGCAGCAAACGTGGGCGCACACCAACGCGGGGAGAGTCTGCCGCGTCACAAACGATCGCCGGGGCAGCGGACGTGGTCCCGCCCAGGCGGCGGGCGCTTGAAGGTGCCGGACCGCCTGTGTCCGCGCCGTAGGAAGACTCCAGGCATCAAGGAGCCCCAGGGGCATCCCGGGGAGGGCTCGGGCGAAAGGCCAAGGAAGAGCCCCGAGCCCCCCAGGGCTGTCCCACCCAGCGGCTCCCCACTGCACCCCAGACTTGGGCACAAACACACCTGTGCCTTAACGGGGGTGCCCACCCCCTGGGGCCCCAAGCCTGGCCAGGAGAGTCCAGAGGCCTGTAGGCCGCCACCTGAGAGCAGAGCCTGCACCCAGGACCCAGGGCCCCAGACAGTGTGGGGCCCTCCCCGTGCCAGGCTGGGGACAGGGCTCCAGGGGTGCACTCCTGCGCTCTCACTCAGCTACTGGGGCCCCTGGGGCCCAGAGGGGGCCAGAGAGCGGGTGGGCGGGGGGCTGCTGGACTGGCTGTGCTCTCCAGGGTGGCTCAGCAGCTCTCTGCAGGCAGTGCCCGGCCCTCCTGCCCTGGTGGCTCTGACCGGCCCTCACACCTGCTGCGGTGGTCTGGAGGGGGAAGGAGGTCGGCCCTGCGTGTGCCGGGCCCCGAGTGGCGGTGAGGGGGCCAGGGCAGCCCCAGAGCCGTGGGGAGCAGACAGGTGGGGCTGGCAAGGGCCAGACCCTCCGGGGCCCCAGCACGGAGGTGGCCTATGGGGCCTTGGAGGGCCGGGGGCAGTCCTGAGCAGACGCCTCACCCTCTGGCTCCTGGGGCTTGACCTTGCCCTCCCTTCTCTTCGTGGTCATGGTCGTTTGGAATAAAACCACGCTGGAGTGCCCCGAGCCCCGGGAGCCCCCAGAGGAGGACCCGGACATCACTGCCCAGACACTGCCCTTCGGTTTGGGCGGAGGTCGGGGAGCAAGTGACGGTGCTGCATCTGGGAGGGAGGGGAACCCTCTGTGCCCCGAGCGCCAGCCCCGTCGCCAAGGAGGGTGGTCAGGGCTGGTGGGCGGTGGGACAGCCTGGGGATGGCCCTCCCTGCGCGGACAGGTGGGGCTTTCGACGAGCCCCCCGTGCGTTTTCCAGCCTCCGGTGCCATTTCCACCACAAGGGCCAAAGGCGCCCACCTGGGCAAAGCCCTGGTCTGACGTGGCCCCAGGTCTGCCTCTCGGTCTCTCAGGGTGGCCTGGCCGCAGCCTGCTGCCCTGAGCCTGACCCTCTGGAGTTGTGGTCGCTCCATCCACTATCTGCTTCGAGCCCTGCAGACCCCACGGACATGCAGCTCAGCACCACCGGGGCCCATCCAGTCTGTCCTTCCTTAACGGGGCCAAGAACCGTCCCTGAAGCCCTCGGCCGTCCACTCCTCTCCCTCCAGGCGCTGGGGCCCCACGGCATGGCCTCCTCCAAGTGCTTGGGAACACGTCACACAAGCACCCTGCCCCCGTCCCTCCACCTGTGGCCGCCAGGTCCAGTGCTCCCCGGGCTGGCTCCACGGCGTCCTGAGCTGAGCACCCTTGTCCAGCCACCCTGCGTGGCTGCTGCAGGGAGGCGGGGACAAACAGAGGCCTGACTCCTTCCGGTAACATTCCTGTGTGAGGTCCATCTCTGATGTCCCCGTGCGCTGCCCCCCCCCCCCGCCTGGGCCCCTGGGCGGGCAGAAGAGCACGGTGGCCCAATCCCTCCAACCCCCTGCCTCTGTGCATCCTCCCCTCCCTGGCAGGCCCCTGTCCCATCCCCCGTGGGGGCGCCTGAGAGGAGTCAGGTGACGACGGCAGACCGACCTCGAAGTCTCCGCGTGGACTCACGTGAGGTCATTAACCGCCAGCGCCACGGCAGGCACCCGCTGGCCGCCCTTTCTGCGTGTCCGCCACGTGCCGGGGTGGAGGGCCCCGCGCAGAGAGGAACCCGGAGCACGAGAGGCGTGTGCACATGCAGCACAGGCCCCGTGGCATGATCTGCCACGCCTGCACCCCCCCGCACTGCTGACTGGCCGCGGGCCGGGGCCACGTGAGTCCCGAGGGC